AAAAAATAAGAACCAAGAGAGATTATGTAAAGGTGCAAATTTCTGATGATGAATGTCATTATATTGTATACCTAAAATGTACCAATAAAATTAATAAAAATATAACTCATTGCTGAAGATCTCTTTAAACATAATAACTTCAGTGTTTTTTACTCAGGTTTCAAGGGCTCTTAAATATTTAAAAGTAACCTTAATATCTTCTTGACTAAACTCTTTAAAGAAAAGATTAAATAATGTTTTGAGTTTTTAAGAAATAGCCACCATAGACCACTTTGTTATCTGCATAAGAATAAGATCTAGAAGCTGGTTTAAATTTAGTAATATGTTTACAATGCCTGCATGATGTCTGTGGCCATACCATCCTGTACGTGCCCGATCTCTTCTGATCTCGGAAGCTAAGCAGGATTGGGTCTTTTTAGTATTTGGATGGGAGAATGACTACATGAAATGTGTATTGTCAGGTGAGGGTGTCTGTTTTAATCTATATGCATCTTTTTTCCCTCTCTCCCCACATTTGCCCTAGTCCCCAACTTCCCTAAAGTAAAAGTTTTAGTCTAAATGGAAAGAGAAAAAATATTCTGAGAGCCAGTGGGTGCGATCAAAGGGAAATTCATATCATTTCCTGGATTAAAAAAGATGAAATTTTTTTATCTCAATGAAATATCTTTCAATCATAACTCTTATTCTTGAGATTTGAGGAAATAAAGTGGGCTATTCACTATGAAACTGTTTTACTCCCCTCTTTCAGGCAAAGGAAAAATTGATATTCAAGCATACCTAAGTCAATGGCAAGATGAGCTGCTCAAAAAAGAAGAAAATATTAAAGATTTGCCAAGAATGAATCAGGTATAGTGTTTTCAAAGAAAAAAGTCTAAGTTCCTACATTTTGTATGAATATGAGTATAACCAACTTTGAAATAGCTAACATACTATTTTTTAAAATATTTAAAACCTGTATTATCTTTAAGTTTTTTGGAAGCACAGAAGAAACAAATTTTTACTTTAAACACTTCAGTGCATCTAGTGTTTCAGATAGTCCTACTATGACATTTTATATACATATAAAAATGCATAAAGAACATCTCCAGCATTGTTGGAAATGTTCTTTTATCCAGTAAACACTTTTAATGCCTACTGGATGCCAAACCCGTTGCTCATTACTGAGCATAAGCAATTACTAAAGGGCTGGGGATTTAGCTCAGTGGTTCCGCTGCCTGCCTGGCAAGCACAAGGTCCTGAGTTCAATCCCCAGTACCAAAAAAAAAAAGAAATTACTAAATAGATCACACCTTGGTTCCTAATGGTCTTTGGAACCTGTACAGGCAGTGCTAATAACTACTGATGCAATTTTAAAAGTCGTCTTTTTCTTATATCCTGTCCCACCAGAATATGTTCTTATATTTTTTACATTAAAATCTGGTTGATATAGATACTGAGGATACCCAGAGCTTTATCCAAATGAAAACTATCAAATAACTTAGTATCCCTCAATGGACTGCATAACTTGGCAGTTGATTAAGTACTTTTTTTTTTTTTGGTACTGGGGATCGAACTTGGGTCCTTGTGCTTGCGCAGCAAGTGGCAAAACCACTGAGCTAAATCCCCAGCCCAATTAAGTACTGTTTTAAATGAATAAATATGGGATATTTGTTCTAAAATTATTATAAATGAACAATACTATAATGAAGAAAGAAAACATTTGTTATAATGTATTTTTATGAAATATATCCTTTGTATTTGCTTTTTGTTAAGATAAACTTTTCTGATTGATGATTGACTTATGGAACTCATGTTGAAATTGCTTTTTTAAACTAAAAAATATTTTCTAGGACTATCTTTGAATTATTTAGGGGTAACTAAGAGGTCAGCTAGTTTCCTTCCACTTTTTCCCCACTCAGTCTTTCAAAAGAAGCACGTCCACATGGGTTTCTTAGAGCTACTTAGCACTACTAGATTAGTCCCATGAGTCATTATTCCCTAAATTTGTCATCTTAGCTAAGCAGGCCACCTTAGCCCTTTGAGGAGATCAATTGGAACTTGTTCTTAATCCTTTTGTTAAGGTTAGTTATAGCCCAGCGGCATCGCTCCTGCCTCGCAAGCACAAAGTCCTCAGTTCAATCCCCGGTACAAAAAACAAAAGATTGAATGAATTAATAATTTAATGTAGGAAAATACAGTACTTTGCCTAATTGAAAGTAAGATGTTTTATGTACATGAACTAACACCCCACAAGGAATATAATCATTGTGTACCAGAAACATTCCAATGAAGAAAAGTGCCACCTAACATTGAAATAATATGGCCAACTGTCTAGGAATTAGTGTAGATATGATGTGCTATAGGCAGTAATCAAGAGGGTTTAAATGAAATGTTTTTCCATGATTCATAGTCATCTTTCTAGAACCAAGATTTATTTGGGGATTAATTGTTCTAGGATGAAGGTTATACACTATAAATTCTATAAAGGAGCGTGACTACTTCTGAGTTCTCTTCATACTTGTCAAATATAATATTAAAATGTTGTATTTCTAACTTGTGTCTTTTAGTCACAATTTATTCAGTTTTCAAAGACCCTCTATAATTTATTTCATGAGGACCCTGAAGAAGAAGCATTATATCAAGCCATTGCTATTGTAACTAGCCTTTTGCTCAGGATGGAAGAAGTTGGAAGGAAACTACATAGCCCGACATCATCAGCCAAAGCAGTCCCTGGTATAGTCTGTGCTTCTGGAGGACCCAATGAAAGGAAAACAGAGAGCCACTTGGAGAAAAATTCTTCCTCTCTTAGGGAGGAACCTCAGTGGTCATTTGCATTTGAACAGATTCTTGCATCTCTGTTGAATGAACCAGCTGTGGTAAGGTTTTTTGAGAAACCCATAGATTTAAAAGTCAAGCTAGAAAATGCAAAAACTTCTCAGTTAAGATCTAGAACCAAAATGTAAATTTCTTAACAGGAATTGGTATCGAAGACAAATTTACCAAGATTTCTATAGCCCTCAGCTTGATTCCTGGAAGTTAGGCTCAAGGATTTTATCTGGTTAGTAATGTGCTTAAAGGAAAAAGGAGTAAGATATTCAGAAGCACAATTATTTATTTGAGATGATCTCAAATTTTGATATTCTCAAATACAAGTGCAGTCAAACCTTGGATTGTGAGTAACTTGGTCTTCAAGCGTTCCACAAGATGAGCAAACATTTCTAAGAAATTTTAACTTGATAAACGAGGCAATACAGTGAACACATGATTGCAACTGGTTCCTCTCACTCTCTCGCTCACTGTCTCTCTCTCTGTCTCTGCTTTGATATAAAAGTGCTTTAGATTACAAGTGGGTTGAATTATTCTCACAAACCAAGGTTTTACTGTACTCTTATTTTAGAAGAGATGCAGTATTAAGGAAGGATGTTCAATGCAACCACCAGGGGGCACCACTATACCATTGTTAGTAAGGAAATTACTAGTTTGTGCTATTTACATGTGATTACTAATGATTTTGAAAAGGTGTTAGTTTATTAGTGATGCTGGTATGTCATATTGATAAATCTTATTTTCCAAATTGCCTCAGTCTTGTTAGAATGCTTTAGAAAACTAGGCTCTTAGATCTATACCCTTATCTAGGAAATTACCATTCAGAGCCCTTATTTTCAGGTTATCTAACTGAAATATTATTAACATTTCAAATTTAATTTCATCCAATCTACTAATAGATGATTTGTTAGTTACTTGTGCAATCTCCACCTGAAGAATTTAGAAGCTGCTGACTATGCTGCTATCTTTTACTGTTAAGAACAAAACAAGAACTCTAAACACTAGGCTGATAGAAAAGGAAAAAATGCTGGACTTGAATTTAAACTGGATAAGACCAGCATTTTAGAAGAGTTTAAGAAACAGTTCAGGGCCAGGGATGTAGCTCAGTGGCACTGTGCCTGCCTGGCAAGCGCAAGGTCCTGAGTTCAATCCCTAATACTGGGGAAAAAAAAAAAAAAAAGTTCAGTTAACTCTATGGATCTCTCATTAGACTAAGAAATTACTAGAAATTCTTCAGAGCAATACTGTTTGTGTTATTTGTCTCAATATGTTGCGATTTGTCTCAGTAGTTATAGATTTTGGATTTTCTCAGTCATGTTTTAATTTACATTAGATAGTAAAGATAGTTACATTTAAACTGAATTGTTATATTAGTCTGGCAGGCACATAAAGTATACTTACACGTGATACTTGCCGATGTAATGTGTAGAATTGCCAACATCTATCTAGAAAGTTCGAACTATCTGATTTAGATATATAATTTCTGTATACTTTATGCTGCTTATGTTTTGGACACGCCATGACAATCCATTTAGAGACATAATGGACTTTGTTGGCGCTTAAAATGAAACAAGTAAACTACACTTACCCATTCTTCTGTCCTATTTCTGACGAGAGCAATTTTTTTTTTTTGGTACCGGGGATCGAACTCCGGACCTTGCACTTGTGAGGCAGGCGCCGGAACCACTGAGCTAAATCCCCGGCCCTGACAAGAGAAATTTAATAATTGAATTCGGAAATGGAGTAGAAATCATCCATTGGAGTTTCTTTCTTCACAAAAGACTTTGGCTTTAAGTCCTTGAAGTTTTTGACATATGAAACAATGAAAGGGCAGACCTCCTGAGTGATCCAAGAAGTCATCTTTTCTGAGCAGGAGTTGGTATAGTGACCCTTAGGCAAGAGTCCACTGTGAACAAAGCCTAATGCAGAGATGCTTGTCACCATACAATATATTATCTTCAGAAAAGTTAAAGAATTTTCAAGTTGACCCTTTGAAAATTGATACATTGGGTTTGGCCAAACCTTTTACTACTCATGTCTTTAAGATAATTTGATCACCTTCTCTTGTCAAGGAAATTACCACTTAAAGAGATAGTTGGTAAGATCTACGCCTTTATTCGGAAATGATTTGCTGAAATACATCCACATTTTAAAAGCTTAGTTAATAGTTTGTATTAAAGCTATCATATATTTGCTGTTATGCAATGATTGTTAAATTATGCTACAATAGCTCTAGAAGGACATACCGTCAATGCTTATGCACAAAAACATTACACACTTTGTTGAATATTTTGTCAGTTGGATTTACAAAGAATACTTTTTAAGAGCATATGTTATTAATATATTGTATTATAAAGTCAAAAAAGTGAAGATTACTGAGTATTGTGTTTTAACCTAGATTAATTAAAATTGAATACTTAAAGGGATTTTTGAGTTGCAAAAAGATTATAAAGACAAGTTAAAAAGAAAAATTTATTTTCTGAGTCTGCAGGAGAAACAAGCTGAATATATAGTTTTATAGCTGCTACGTTGTTAAGCAGATGAATTGTACTAAATATTAAAAATCTTATGTAGTTGTGTCATACTAAACCAGTGCATTATACCTTATACATTAAATGTAATAAAGTGGTTTTACTTCTCTTTATAAGAATAAATATTATAAATCTCCTATATTAAACATGAAAATGGTTTGCTTAAAGAGATTAATATTATTTACTATGATGTGTTTTATTTTCACTTAACCCAGATATCACTTGAGGACTCCTTCTGTTTCAGTTAGGATTCATTTGCAGAGAAAAGAATTTATACTTACTTAGATTAGGTAGGAAAAGATTTATACTGAGTATTAAATGGCTTACATAATTATCAAGGCTATCTGAATTGGGCTTTTAAAAACACATCCCAAAGGCACATCACTACCAGGTCACCCAGGCAGTTGCTAACTCTTCTAAGATTAGAAAACTGCTGCTTCCTTCTTTGAGAAGGAAAAGCCATCACTACTGCTACTACCTCTGGAAACATGCTCACCCACTGTGATTTATACCAGCAAAATAGTCCATGCTCCCTGCCTCTCAGCACTCACAAGCTTGTGACTACATTACAGTAGGGCAGCCAGACATCTTCACAGCCATGTTTACCAGCAGAGGTGTCAGAAGCATAAGCTCCACCTCACTTCTACTTCTAAAGTCTCATGTGTATGCATCTCATTGGCCTAGAATAGCGGTGGCAAACCTATGGCATGTGGGCCACAGTGGGCACACAGAGCCCTCTCTGTTGGCACAAGAGCCAAGTTGCCACAGCCAAGGTTTGACAAATTATCAGCATGTACACAACAGCAAAGATCATATTAATTGTGCAAAAGTACGCCAAATGCAAACTTTTACCTTTTAATAAAAATCTGTTTGTATCATTGAAAACTCTGTTATTGTGTTTTTCTTTTAAGATAAAAGATGTTAATGTATGAGTTGTTTCTAAACTAAAACGTCAGGATTCAGGTTTAATCGCAGTGTTGGCACTTTACGATAAATAAGTGGGTTTTGGGTTGCAGTTTGAGCATTTGGTCTCTAAAATATTCGCCATCACTGGCCTAGAGTTGTATAAAGAATTAGTTGTATAAAGAATTAGCACAACATATATTATTTTATCATTTCAGTGGGTCAGTACTATAGGCTCAGCTTAGCTAGGTCCTTTGGCTAGGATTTCACAAGGCTACAACCAACATGTCAACCAGGCTGGTTCCCATATAGGAGTTCAACTGGGGAAAAGTCCTATTCCAGGCTGATTCAAGAAAAATTCATTTTCTTTTTTTGGTACCGGGGATTGAACTCAGGTCCTTACGCTTGCGAGGCAGGCGACAGAACCACTGGGCTAAATCCCCGGCCAAAAAAATTCATGTTCTTATGATTTATAGGTATAGAGGTACCATTCTTTCTGGTAGTTGATTGAAGCCTGCTCTCACCTCCTGAAAGTGTTCCTTGGTTCTTAGCAGCTGCCCTCATCCTCTGCAGACTATCCACAGTTCTTTGCCTTATGGCCTTCTCCAAAGTGACCACTTCATCAAGCCAGCAAGGAGAGTCTAGAGTGAGTCTGTCAAAAAGAGTGTCTCATATAAAATAACAATCACAAGAGTGGCACCTCAGTCCCTCACCAAGTTCTGTTTTTTTAAAAAAGCAAGTAACAGTCCTGCCCACACCCAAATGGAGAGAATTACCAGAAAGGCATGAACATCAGGAGACAGAAATGGTGAGACATGGTATTCCCTAGCATCTTAGAGTCTACCCACCACAAACACCAGTCTAGGTCATTATGTATGTCATTCAGCTCTTTCTCTGTGCAATACACCCTTCTCTTCTAAATAACAGCTAATAGCAACATTGGCTTGCTCCTGCCTGTCATAACACAAATCTCCCTCCTATAAATAAAAGTACACCAATATCTCCTAAGAGAAGATCAAAGTTTCTGTCAGTAATTTGAATCTATCCACAGCTGATGTTCACTCTTCCTGATTCAGTCTCAATCCCATCTTGATATTCTATGTTTGGATTAAATTATAAGTAAATTGTCATCACCTGACCTTATAGAAAAATAGTAGAGGATACATGGGAAAGTAAATCGATTCTTATATATAAACATATACATAAAAGAAATGGAGAAACTAAAAGGCTATTATCCTCATTTCTACAACAGGTCATGAAACTGTAAGTATGGGGCTTTTTCCTAATCATACTATAAATTAACTTTTCAGTTTATACATTAAGCACAGGTATACCTGTCACCATCACAATTAGAATACAGCATAGTTCATCACCCTAAAAGAACTCCCTCATGCCATGACTTTATATAATCTCTGCCTGCCCCTAACCAACCACTGATCAGTCCTTTATCCTCATAAAAAAAAAAGTTTGCTTTCCCACAAACCCTGTGCCTCACAGCCATGTGATGAAGGAATAGTTAGACACTTCTATATGTAATTTCTCAAGCCAGAAGGAAGAGAGAATGCCCTACATTTTGGTGAAAATTACAGCATCTTCACATCAACACTGCTTCTGAGGTAGGAGTTACACTGCTTTTGAATGCCCAGGCTTTGTCCCCCCACCCCCTTTTCAGGAGGAGCTTTTTAGTTCTGTGAGGAAAAATGTTCAGTAAAGTCTGCTTTTATTAGCTAGAATCTGTTTCTTTGGCTTAAAGTAGACTGATAACATGTGATACTGGAGGTTCCATAGCACTGGTTCCCTCAAGACATGGCAGAGTATTCCAGTATCTACATTCCTAGGCCTATAATCACTGGAAGAGCCTATAGCTCATATTATGCTCTAGTTTTCATTTCTGTCACCAGAACTGCATCTTTCCCCATCCCATTGAGAAATAGATTTTCCAGTTCCTAATTCATGTCTTCCTTTGAAGACAGTGTCTTTTCTGTATGGCTTTTTAAAAGATTCTGATCTTTCCATTGTTCTGCAGTTCCTTATGATCTATTTAGCTTTTGAAAAATCTTGTTTGGGATTGATGATTAAATTTTGATAATTGACTATCATTCTCCAAGACCTACCTACCTTTAGCACAAGCTAAATAGGTAAGTTAAATGAAGATGTGATAGAAATCACCCCTAGCTTCCACATTAACACATATTCTTTGTTTTTTCCTTAAATTCTTTTATTGGTACATTTTAGGTATACAATAGATTTACATTTATCATTGGGAACTTGTACCTTTACATAACCACTCTTCGTTCTTATTTTTTCCCCGATTCCCTGCCCTCCCTTCAACCCCTCCAATATTTATAAAGACTTTGTTTCCTTTTTTTCCATTTGTCATTTTTCCTTTCCCTCCTTTTGTTTCCCCTACCCCTCCCACTTCCCCTACCTCTCTGGACCTTTTCATCCAATTTTGCATTATCAATTATTCATTTTAATCATTGGTACATTTTAGGCACACAATATAATGACATTCATCATTGGAAATTTACACCTTTATACAATCGCTCTTGGTCATTTTTCCCCCTTCCCCTACCCTCCCTTCAACCCCTCCATTTCCTCCCTATTTACAAAGACTTTGTTTCCATTTTTTCACTTTCTCATAGTAATTCCATTCCCTTTCTTTTCCCCTACCCCTCCCACATCCCCTTCCCCATTGCCCCTTTTCTTCCTATTTCACATTATCTATTATACCTTTTAGTCCATATTTACACTTTCAGTGTCTCACACTAGAGAAACTATTTGGTATTTACACATGTGTGTCCTATTTATTTCACTTAAGAGTATCGCCTCAATGTGCATCCA